AAAAAAAAATAAAAAGGACATTAGACTATCTACTAAACTCAGTGTATTGGGCTACACTCTCCACTTTTCTAACTCAATCAGAAAATTTTCATTTTCTGATTTTACACATTTCAAAAATGTGTGAGAACTTCTATAAAATATCAAACTTATGACTATTAAAGTGTGTATTTATGCCTAGATCTAAAGTACTTTTAGTTTCTTCATTATTGGCTAAGTTATTTAAGTTTTCTACTTTGATTTCTTTCTCTGACAGAAGACACTCTTTCAGAACAATAAACTCAGAAGTGGCCTAGCACAAAACTTCAAAAGTTGAAAACATTCCCATCTTTAAAAAATGTTAACTCCCAGGCCTCCCTGGTATTGCGGTTAAAGTCTCAGAGCTATTGGGCTATTGCTATGAGTTCAATCCCTGGGCAGGGAGCTGACCCACATGGCACAGCAGACCTCTGCTATCTCGCCCGCTGCTCCCCTCAGCAGTGTATTTCAGTGGCTCAGCCTGTTCTGCTCCCCACTGTGTCTCTGGTGAATCCTCTCCACCAACCTCTTGTATACACAAACAAAAGTAAATCTTTAAAGTAAAAAAGTTAACTTCCACACACAGTATATACTGCATAAATAATAGCTTTAAGGAACAAAAGAGACAAAATAAATATGCCTTAGCATCATGCAGACTAAAATGACTAAAGGACATACTGACTAAAGTTGGAAAAGCCTGGGCACTTTTCTCTTACTCTTCAGGTTGTTGAATGTTGAGATATCAATTTCTCAGACATCAGATGTGTAACATGAATTAAATGTATCTCAGGTCTGAAACCTGAGGTCATGGACCTTTTTAACTAAAACCTTATGTAATTTTCCAAGTTAATTAGTAAGAATAAAAAGCAATCAAACACAATTTGGGAAAATATTTCCATTAGGTAGATCTATAGGCCTTATTAATACATAGCATATAAAATAATTAGCTAATATTCATCAGTAGCAAATTTCTCCAGGAAATGTACTACATAGGTATACGAGTATAGAATGTACTGCTAAAATTTACTGGAGGTAAAAAGACTTCAGAAAATCTAATTTACTATTGTTTGGAAAAAGTGAGTGTACAGAAGTAAAAATATTAATAAATGAAATGTACCTTTATGAAAGTAAAACACAGAATATGTGATTTGTTCCCAAGAGTCAAGCTTCGGGCTATAACATACACATAAACTTCCTAGAAGAAAGAGATTATTTAGTAGAGCTTAAAAAAAAAACAGTAGACAGAAATTTTTCTAAGTCACTTTACCTTACTTCTATTCCTTTCATGTCTGGTTCACCTTACCTCATAAACCATTTCCAAACTCTAAAAATGGTCCTTTAACAAGTTTCTAAGAATGTTCAGTTCCACACTATGGTTTGTGGTAGGCCAGCAAAGGACAGGAAAACGAACAGAGGCAAACTCCTAGACACAAAATCACGGGATCTAGATGGTTCCAAAGCCTCGGGAGCATCTCCCAGTGCACTTACTGCTATGCCCTCTAACTCGCTTACTGATATTAACAACTACAGATACTATTTATAAAAAGTGTGTCTGTTCTTTACCAAAGTTTCCAGTTCCCTCGTGATCAACAATCAGAGGTAAACTGGACTACGATGAGCAACTGTTGTATGTGAGACCATTCCCATCCATATTTGAATAAGTGAGGGTGGGCCCTACTGAAGGGCCAATGCAAGTTCCTGGCACAAAGTGACCTCTTTAGGGGAGCCCTGACCTCACTCCATTACTCCAGAACACCCTCACACTTCCCAGCTTGGGCACAAGCACATCATGTCTAGCAGCTTGTTGCCATCTGTACAGACAAGACAATGTCCATCAACCACTTAGAAATGAGGGTATTCTGCTCACACTGCTACCACTTCTATTCTACTACTAGTTGTGATGAACTGAGATTTCCAGGATGGAAAGGAAGTTAACAGGGAATCTGGAAACCCACACTGATAAAAGCTGTATGAATTCAAGCATTCTCTTCAGTCAACCACAACACTTCTTTTATTATACTCCACTTGTTCCTTTACAAAGAATCACAGTAAACAAACAAAAGCCCATGTTCCCAAAGCGGCTATCTGAGCATTCTGTTATAGTATTTATCATTTGTGAATATTTCAGATAATATTTAAAACTTTAATATGTTGTTAGAAGAACATTTATTGCAATATATTAAACAAAATAAAAAAGAATATAAGATTAAAATAGTTATAATTCTGTTAAATATAAAATTACTGTTATGGCTGCTAAGAGCACAGTGATAACTTTTCTTTAAAATTACAGCAGTCTCTTTAAGAATAAAATTAATACTATAATAAGGTATTTTTATAAGTTATAAAAGTCCCATGTACCATTTTGACTACCTCTATAAAGTAAAATACTACCAGCAGAAACTGGTGGTTTATCCTAACTTTTTATGTGTTATGATCACATAGAGAAAGAAATTTTAAGCAAACATGATTAAATCTTCAGCCTCTTCAGTAATAAAAATTAAAACATGGAATCATATTTTTTCTATTAAATTAGCAAAATTGTTAAAATGAGAATCAAGTCTGCAAGGGGGAATACTACTCAGCTATAAAAAGGTGAATTCTTGGGCCCTCCCTGTGGCGCAGCGGGTTGGAGCACAGCACTGAGAATCTAGGGCCGCTTCTGCATGAGTTCGATTCCCGCCTGCCCCGGAGGTGACCACATGGTGTGGCAGACCTCTCCTGACCCGCCCGCTACTCCCCTCAGCAGTGTACTTCGTCGATCTGCCTGTTCTGTTCTCCACTCTGTCTCTGGTGAGGCCTCTCACCGCCTCTGAGCCTCTGGCCTGTACCCCAGTTCTGTATGCACAAATAAATAAATCTTTAAAAAAAAAAAAAGGTGAATTCTTTCCATTTGCAACAACATGGATGGAACTGGAAGAGATAATACTAAGCAAGATAAGTCAGGAGGAGAAAGACAAATACTGAGTGGTTTCACTAATATGTGGAATACAGAGAAAACAAAGGGTTAGTCAAAATCAAAGCAATAACATCTGACTACAAAACTGAGGCAACCAGAACTGGTGGTAGAAATGTGGGAACAAGGAAAGGAGGGAGGCCTTATGGCGCATGGTAGAGGATTACTGAGCCTTTGATAGTGGGCATGGCATGGAAACATATATTTGTAGAGGTTTGCATCAGTAACCCCTTTTAAAAATACAGTGATGTCAACCAATATTACCTTAATAAACGTAATTTTTTAAAAATTATTTTTGAAAAGTGATTTGGGAAATACACAAACTGACAACTCATTAGTCAAAAACCTAAAGGTTGCATCTGTGATTGTTTTATCTTAAGTCTGAAAGCACTCCCATTTGAAACAAGCTGTTTTTTTTTCTATTTCAAAGATGACTGTGAAGAGCTAGGCTTATTCTCCACTCTCCCAGACATTGCTGATAAAGGAAAAAATTTTACTTTTCATGCCAGCTAAAGTTAACATTTTATTAAATAAGATGTCATAAAAAGCCTATTTACCACTGTTATGGTTCATGCACAATTTCCATGGGAATAAAATGAAAAGGGATAAAGAGTTATCTAATTAAAGCCTGAAATGATGGTTCATATATAATAGATTTAAAGTGAAGTACTAAGGAGGAGCCCTGCCTGGTTGCTTGCTCCACATGATCTGCATTTAAAAAAAAAAAAAATTGACAGAATACTGGTTTACAACACACAGATGACCCTGGATCCCATTCCATGCTACCTTCCAAGCCAATTCACTCTCTGCTGTGCATTCCATCTTTTCTCTTTTCACTAGATACCCTATAAGTATTCCATCATGGTGGAGTCTCCATCACCATAAAAAACAAAATTCCCTAAATCCTACTTCCTATCCAGCTATTGCCTCTCTCACGTCTACATATGCTGCTGCAGTTTTTTCAACTTCCACTTGGCACATAACCCAACATCATCAAGATTTCACCTCAATTACCCAACATAAACTATTCAGAATAACCTCCATGTTGCTAGATCAGCGCACTTCACCTCTTGCTGCCTATTAACAGCTTACCACTCTCCTTACTGAAACTCCCTCTGCTTTGGCTGCAGTAATGCCATACTCATTTTGATTTTCCTCATCTCTCCCCAGGCATACTTTCCCCCCTTTTCTCTTTTTGTTCCATCTAACTTTTATCAATTAACATTCCCAGATCACATCACTAAATGTGTCTTCTGACCCTACAATCTCCTTGTCTTCAAATGGGAGCTGTAGTCTGACAACTTCCCCATTTATGCTATTCCAGTCCTGCCCTGTCTTCTCAATGCCAGAGCTCTTAGTTCACATCTGAAAATGACATTCACAATCTCCCTTTCTAAGTTCTACCCAAACGATCATACTTCAATAATGGCACCACTGTCCACCCATTTGTTTATGTCAGGAACCTGAAAACCATTCCTCTCAATCTTATTTTCAGTAAATCTTGTTCAGTTCCATCTCCAAAATGTACATCAAACCTGTCTATTTCTCTCTGCCTCTGCTGCCAATCCCAGTGCAAGGACCTCAGCTCCTAACTATTTACTTCCTCACTTTTTCTATTGCCTTTTCCAATCCTGTTATTTCTTCGCATTGGTCTTTTAAAAAACACATAGTTAATCGTGTCACTACCTTCTTAATATACATCAGTGAAGGAGCATCAGTGGACTCTAAAACCACCAGATGAAAAGTTACAGGGAATTAGGATAGTCCCATGATGCCAAAGTTTCACCTCACAGATTACTAATGCAAAGATTATAACATACTTTTTCTATGGAGAGAGACAGGGTTACCACTTAACCAAATAAACAATCTTAAACTTACAAATACCAGGACATCCTGATATGATATGCTCCCTAACGTGGTATAAATGAAGTTCACAATGCCATCTATGAAATTGTCTTTTAAACATGTTTAACTTGTATCTGATAATGTCTTTTGGTCAACATCCAATTTGGAAATGCAAAGGATAGAGAAAAAGTTAAAAACTTCCACACACAAAAAAAAATTACAACGGAGAAGATAATTTGGTATATGAAAATTCATATAACCACTGATGAACAAAAATGCTTCATTAGATTTTATTTTCAGGACGCTTATGGCAAATCAGCAACCATATTTTATGCAGAACTCAGGTATAGCTGAATACTTCGATAAACACAACCCTCGTGCTACCTGTATGGTTGGTAAAAACACACAGGGTCAAGCGCTTGGATAATTTTTCTTGGTCTTGAAGATCATTACATCCAAAGTTCACAAGTCTAAGAACATAAAGGATAAGACAATATGAATGCATTAATTCTCTCATAAAAGGTGTGAGTAGCCACTTTAATAAACCCACACAAATAGAGACATGACTTAAGAGATTTAACTAGATAACAGTTTGTCTTTAAATAGTTTTCATTAAATAGTAAATTAAAAAAATAGCACATAAATGGCATGGTCCCAGTAACAAAGGAAAAAATATTACTTTCAACTTAATTTTTATAACTTTTCTGACTTACAGTAACACATATACTAGTTTCAAAATAAACACAAGTTAAGTTTATAGATATGAAATAAAGCTAGTGAAATAGATAGCCACTTGGGATGGTCATTATTCTAATTCTTTCATGTCTCCTGTGCACTGATGGTCTGACACCTATTTTTTTTTTTCATAAGTCATGTTTTTATTATAAGCAAAGTAGTCTGGGGAGGGGGAGGATGTAGCCTTACAAGTCCACTCCTACCTGTCTGTATCTATACCATTTGCATTGTAATTCTGCAGCTTCTCCTTCAAAGGACTGAGTCAATTCTCCCTCCCTTGACTGTTCATTGACATTGTGACTTATTTTGGTCAATAAAAACAAAACCCTAGGCCCTCCCTGTTGGCGCAGCGGGTGGGAGCACTGCACTGCAAGCTAAGCCTAGCCATGGCAGCTTCAATATCATTGACATTACATGTAAAACCCATATTTGTGCTTGATAAGTTTTTAATATTTCTTAGAGAGAACAGAAATAAAAAAGATACACACACGCACACACCCCCAAGAGAGAATACCAAATTGTCCTTTGATCTGCACAACACAAACTGGGTATAATCATTCTGCCCACAATATCTATAAAAATTAACAGCAATATATGAATAACTTACTTAAATCCCAAGTCACTTAATGAAATGTCCAAGGGTACTTCAAACTGTCCAAAAAAAATCAGAAGAAACTGAACAAAAATGTGACATTAATTGTGACAGTTCTGAAAACCAGAGCAAGCCAGATGACACTGTGCTTACCCAATGATGAAAAACTCATTTAATTATTATTCTTTTCGGACATTACCCCTCAAAATCACAGCACAAAAAATCCATTGGGAATATTCCAGAGTTAACAGATAAACACAAGTTTGATGTTTATGTATTTCTTAAATAGCAACTTAGCAAACTTTGTCCTTGAATTTAATATCATTAACAGGCTGTATAATAAATCAAATAAGTCTAAGAACTTCACAAGACACAGATAACCAGGTAATAAAGGAAGGACTGTGTATCTTTAGGAAGATTCCAAAAAGGTTGAGAAGAGTAAACGAAATTCTTGTAATGGTATGCCAATCTGAATTAGGAATTACTGTTCGTTCTAGTCAAGAATAACAACATATTAGCTACCACAGATAAAAATATAGATGACTCCTCACCACAAGGCTGGTGCTCCACACAGCTTCTTCAGGAGGGATGCTGGATTTGAACTATGCCCTCTTGCTGACTTTTTACCTTACTCTCAGATCCTCCATCCTTCAAGTTCTTTTGGGTTAAAAGACTCATAATCACTTAAAGACACTTACAATAGACCACACCTACTACCTTCTACTAATCCTCACTGATAGTTTTTAATGTCAAGTACTCCATTAGCAGAAATTTCCTGTGTGTGCTCTCCTCTATTATGTTAATAATATATAATAACCTATATTATATTAATTGCATTAGTTGTAGAGTTTTAGCCTTGATATGGGAAGAACTATTTTACTTACTCATACAAGTGACATTTCAACATCTAGGATGTTAAAATGCTGTTTATGATAGCTCTCTAAAAGAGGGCAACACTTTATATAATATTCTGTAGCCCAATCATTCTCTGGACTTACCATTAAGTTAAAGCTCTCATCATCATAAAACTGGATGCATTTTAAAATGCTTCTTGATTTCTGAAAGAGAAAATAGAATAAATGACAAATTACTAAGTTAAAAAACACTTGTTAAAAAGAGAGAGTACGTAAAGGCAACAGCCAAGCAACCATTATTGAAAACCTTTTGATTAATTTTAACAAACTTTCACTGGCTGTACCCATCAATGAAAATACAGTGATTAACAAATTATAACCATAATGTTAAAATTACATTTTCCCCACAAAAAATAGAGCCAATGGACAAATTTTTTACCTTCAGTTCAATGTAGTATAATCTCTGCTCTAACATATCCCACTGAGCCCAGACAAAATCCTCAGCTACTCGCTCTCGTGGGAGATGGCCAGAATTCTTAATCACCTAAAGAGGGGGAAAGATTTTAGACATAACTATTTTAAAGGAGAATCTATCTGGCTTTCACTATGATTGTATATATTCTATCTTTATAACACATGTAAATATTCTCACAGTTGATTTTTAGCAGCCCTCCTCATTCACTTAAGGAAGATCTTCCCCCAAGAAGACTTAAGGCATCATTTCATTTTTACTTTTCCCAAAGACTCTATCAAAAACTATTTTACTGTTGTTCCTAACACAGCACACAGGCTGGGAATGCTGAGAGCAAGACCACATCTACTCCAAATTTACAAGGAGGTTAACAGAAGATTCAGAGCTTCCTGTTTGGGATATAATCGGCTCAAGTCTTGGCAAACAAGAGTCCCTCAGTACCAAAGACAGAGGCTGTCAAGCCAAAAAAAAGCTCAGGGTGGGAAAAAGAGATCTGGATAAGATTCCAGATCTGCCCTCAACAGCTCGTGTGGCACTGGTTGTGCTTCCTACCTTCACCTTTTCCATGATAAACATGATCATTCTGCCCCTCTCTCATATTCCCTACTCAGCCTTTCACTGAGGCATTGCTTCCTGTACTAAGCCTCCCTCTACAGCCCAGGAGAAAGGCAAAATTCCTCATCTATGTATTACAGTGTATTATAATGATACTTTGGCATTGTACTATTACAGCTATGTCTCCACTAATGTGCTTCCAATAGCCTCCAATAGGTAAGCACTCTGCTACAATATCTTAAGATTCTCAGTGTGTTGTATGGAACATGTAATAATATGGGCAGAATCCTTGTTCAAGAGCAGAAGAATAAAGTGTGTTAGAGTAAACTGCCAAAGACATCACAAGTGTAATACAAGGAATGAAGAAAGCACTGTTGTCAAAGCAATTATCAAGCAGGAGCACCCTGTCTTTTGGAAAGATGAGTAAATAACGAAGTCAGGTTGAAATAGAAGGAATATGGAGAAGAGGGAACATCAGAATTGCCCATACTCATGCCTAAATTCTCTTGCCAGTAGAGATGTCTCCACTGAGGCAAATTACAAATTAAATTAGGCACAGAACACCCAACAGAGGACACAAGAACTTGTTTGCCTGGGTTCTATTACATGTAGGTCAAAGGAAAGTGATGGCTTGAGAAAAGATCTAAGAGTGCCGGTTTGTCTCTAAACCTCAGGCAGTCCCTCCTGTTGCCTTTTTTTTTTTTTTTTTTGGTATAATTTTATTTCTGAAACTTGTCAGGTTGGGGCAGACTGGGAAGCTCTCTTATAAGTGTATGCTGACAAGAATTTGGGAACTAGGCCCATACCTCAGTTTTGTCTCTCTCTCGACTACCTAGCCCGAGTCCTGTTGTTTTCTCTCTAAAAATGGGGAAAGTTTTAGTATCACCTTTACCACACAGAGATTTTGTGGAACTGCATCTGTATTCAAAAAACAAGCCTTTAGGAAGGAGAGTGGAAGTATACCTAGGAAGGCCACAATGGGTGAGGGAAAGCGGAGGCTGCACTGTCTTGGCAGCCAAACTCTCACTGCAGACAGCACCCATCCCTCACTTTCTCTGCAGTGTTTCTCCGAGACCCAGACCTCACTTCTAGTCAGCCAGTGCTCTCTCTAGACTGACCCCCTGTTCCTGATCCAACTTGTTGAACTCTCTGCTCTGCATTCCCACTTGAGACTCTGCCTAGGACCTTCTTTTCTGGCCTGACCCTGTCATGGCCACTGACCTTGTCCTTGCCCTCCCAGGCTCAGAGCCACTAGGTGGCCTATGTTCCAGCTACAGACTTCCTGCTCATTTTTCAGCCAGGCCTCTCTTTATTTAACATTTTCAATAATAGATACATGATTAATAAGTGATGTTTTCCATTTCAAATTTGTTCACATAATTTTAAAATTAAAATCTTCAGAGAAAAGCTATTTTGAGCCAAACTATTTAATTTTCATATTAATAATATATGAATATGACATACAATTTGTCAAGAAAAAGGCAACCCAGTAGAAAGACAGATAAGGATAAAACTAAGTAATTTTCAGAAAAATCTAATTCAAATCACTAATAAGCAAAGGAGATACTGAAATTCACTAATATTAAATGAAACAGAAAAAGAGTAACACCATCAACTTTCACCAAATTAGAAGCTTTCCAAAAAGACAAATGCACCCATTACTGATATGCTAGAGGGGAAGAGAGTTCTTACTTGCAAACTCAATTGTTTAAGTGTTTGGAAAGCAAGCTGGCAAAACCTGTTGAAACTCAATGAATAGACATATCCATCAACCCAAAAATCCAATACCTGATGATTTAGGCCAAAGAAATAGACTTATCAAATACATAATGTGCTAGATGCAAACATGTTTGAGATATGTGTAATTCAAACAAATAAAAAACTAGTAAGTAAGTCAATATCTATCTAAAGAATGGTTAAAAAATCCTTTATGGTTCCTGTTAGAGAATGGTTAAGTTGTATACATCCATATCCATGCCACAAACTGCTATATACTTAACAAAGAAATTAACTGGAACTACTATAGTTGACTTGTAGATAAATCCACAAAGTTTAATGAAGGCATGTAGAGTAAACTCTGAGATGAGTCAAAGGAGGGGATGAGATTAATATAGGTATGAAGAAAGGTATGAGTAGATAAAGTTAGAAGTGAAAAGGAAAGAGAAAATCAAAAGGCAAGCAAAAAGAGAAAATTGAACTATATTAAACCCCAGCATATATACTATGATCTCATTTATTAAGTGTATGGCTCTGTATATAGGTATAAAAATTAGAAGAAAGAGTTCAATTTCTCTTTAGAAACCTATAGAGTCAAATGACAAATAAAAGCAGCAAATTAATTGTGTGCCTATATATGTGTATATGTATATATATGTGTGTATATATGTTATGATTCTATTTTGATAAAAACAATAAATCTCTGTATATGTACATTTGCACACATGTTCATTTGCACACATGGGATAAAAGATGTGGAAGATTCATAGTAAATTCTCATTATTGTTACCATAGGAAATTAAGATTGGGACTGAGGTAGAAATGAGGTAGAAATCAAGGAGATAATTAATTCCTTTATACCTCTTCTTATTACTTCAGTACTACAACAAGAAGTCTATAACTTGAAAGACTTTACATAAAGAAAAGATTCTATCTCTGTAACATTAATCTATCTTTAATGGTCTAGAAATGTTTCTGTGGGGGAAAAGATTGCAGGAATTTTAAATATTTACCACTTTATTTCCATCTTCTCGAATGACCTGGATATGAAATTGTTCAATATCTTTGATTAAAAAAAAAGAGAAAAAAAAAATGTAATGATTACTGTTGCCATACGGTAACATTATTTTATAAAAGCAATGCTGATTAAACTGGCTGACAAAGAATATTGTCACAGACAACAATCTTACAATAAAAGCTTGAAAGAAAAGCCAGCTTTAAGCTTGAAAGAAAAGCCAGCTTTCTCAACACTCCCTTTACGTTCAAAGCCAGCTTATCTGCTTCTCAGTATATGGAGCATTGAGCCCTTCTGTGTATCTCTCCTTTATTACGAGTCTTAGACAGGGCTAGTAATGGCCCATGTGACAAAATTTATCTTCAATCTCCAAATACCAAACACCACTTTGTATGAAAATATACAAACTTATACAAAATATTTGGGGAAGGTATTTTTAAGGAGTCAATTCTGCATTGACAGAATTCTAAATATTTTAGATTCATAGGTGATGTTTCATAGTAAGCAGTTTATATTTGGCCATACTTACATACTACCAATATTAGTCACAAAAATTTGAGATGGGTAAGTGAGCAACAATATAGGAATTGAACACAAACCTAACCCCTCAGAGTAGTACTTCCAATTATAAATTAGCAGTTTCATATTACAACATGAAAGATAGCTTACTAGGTAAAATCCACCAGACAATTTTGCCCTTTCTCTGCTCACATCTCTCCCCGGCCCCCCAATGTGAAAACATCTGTCTCTGCCTGAATTTGATCAGATTAGAATATGCCCTTACATTCAGCCATGAAAATCTAGTTTTTCAAACCTTTCCCTCTGCCTATCTAAGCATCGCCTGTTGTTTTTCCTTTGTTTTGCTTTTGAATATTTTATTTACTTATGCATACAAGAACTTGGGTACAGGCCAGAGGTGTGGGTGGGGGGTGAGAGGATTCACCAGAGACAGAATGGGAAACAGAACAGGCAGATTAATTGAAACACACTGGTGAGGGGCTCAACAAGCAAGACAGGAGAGGTCTGCTGTGCCTTGTGGGTCCCCTCCCTGGCCAGGGATCAGACTCACGCTGTGGTGGCTGCAGATAGCTTCACAGTGCTGCACTTTAACCCCTTGGGCCACCTGGGAGGCCTCTAAGCCTCACCTGTTATTCCATAGTAATATACTATGACAAACATCCATCATCAAAAAGAATGGACTAAAGAAGACAAAAATGACCTGCACAATTTATTCTACAAATATTCTGCCATGTGACAAAATTGAAAATTCACATATATATGCATATATATGTGAATATATATATATATATTTTTTAATAGGAATCCATAACTCTCAGGATAACAAAACAGTAGAGGCTGAGGGTACTAGTGGGAGTGGAAGGAAAAGCATTGCATAGGAGTTCTGGTCTCAAGTGGATGGTAAAAGTCAGTGAGCCCTCAGCACTGGCCACTGGACAACTCACATGTAGTCATGTCCCACACCCTACTAGGTGTGCTTCTCATGAAGTCTCTACATACCACGCAAAGACAGGAATCAAATCTTTGACTTACACTTCTCTTCTGAAATTAGTAACAGATGGTACTCTGAAAGATGATGTTCTACATGTGGATAGAGGAACTGCAAAAAAGGAAACCAATCAAAATCATAAGCAATTGCTTACACAATTATTTCAAAAGTTGTATTTGATCATTGTACTACTACTTACCATAGGAAAGCCAGGAGACCACAGAATAGTTTAGCAAAACACATAACACACACAGTATAGAAGGAAGCAAGAAGAAAAAAAGAACACTTTCGAGAGCTCAGTTTTCCGAAGGGTAACTGATTGCCCTTTGTTTTGTTTTTTAATATTTTATTTACTTATGCATACAAGAACTTGGGTACAGGCCAGAGGTGTGGGTGGGGGGTGAGAGGATTCACCAGAGACAGAGTGGGAAACAGAACAGGCAGATTGATTGAAACACATTGGTAAGGGGCTCAGCAAGCAAGACAGGAGAGATCTGCTGTGTCATATGGGTCACCTCCCTGGCCAGGGATCAAACTCACGCTGAGGTGGCTGCAGATAGCTTCACAGTTCAATTCATTTAAACAGCACAATTCATTTAAACAGTAAGGCTAAAGTATAAATTATTTCTAGGGATGTGCTTCCTATTTAGAATATGGAATTCAGAAGCCAACCAGAAATTATGTAACCAACACTGGCACAGAAAGTTTTATTTTATATGCACACAAAAAAGAGTAATCAATACATCTGATATACAACCTAGTGTTGTCTATCTTAGTGTTTAACTTGAAAACTAAGTAAATGTACTTTCCACTACAGCTGTCAAAGTCTCACATGTAAGGGCAAAGCACAATGTAAGTAGGGACTTTCCAGGAACGGACAGTGAGTCACAGAGTGGCATGTGGTGGGGGATTTATGAGCCCCAAGCACGGCGTGACCGCCACTGGGAAGACAGTGCCTGAAGCACTCCACTCTTCTCCCCTAAGTACACACAATAAAGCAGGCTGCAAAAGTGCAAGGCCTGATGCCATCACCAGCCGATGAGGGAAAGCTGGCCATGATTGGAGTCTAGGGACTAATTCTTTCATCATCAAGAGTTACTATAAATCAACATTTTCATCTTATAATCTGAAAGATCCACCAGTAAATTTTGGTCTTCTTTCCCTTCAAACTTGAAAGCACAATAAAACAAGGTAACTTAACCTTTCATGTCCCTATTTTATAGTTAGCAGCCACTCCAAGGACTAGGGAAAAATGTTGATAAAATATATTACCTGGTCCTAACTTTTCATTACAACAAATGGAAAGAGAACGGTCCATTTTTAAATGCGTTTCTGTCAAGTTTCACATTTAAAATTGAAAAATAAAACATTAACTAGGTACCAACTTCACAGCAATAACCTCAAAAATATATAAAACACAAAGCAATACAAAAATCCACTGGAAGTATGTGGAAGATGCTGGTAGGGAACTCTCCAAGGGTAGGGATTCAAACCCCAGCTATTAGCAGGCTCCTGAAGTTCCTCTGTGAGGAGGTCAAGACCATATGTGTAGACTTAGGGAAAGGTACTAATGAGAGTGTCATCGGTGTTTTGGCAAGAAAAGGAAAAGAGAGCAAGACGAAACTCAGAGGACACTGACTAACATTTCTCTAAAAGGGAGAGAGAGAGCGAGATGAGAGAAGATGGGAATTTGTTATGGGTGGAGGTTTGGAGGTGTTTCTTCCTCTACAAGCATATGCATGAAGAATAGGAAACAACGTTAAGAACTGAAGTGGACCTGCCATAGAAGTTCAGGTTTTTCTTTATTTGGGTGGAGATTTTTCCTTTGGTGTTTGGGCTCAGTCATGTATCATGTATTTTTAATATTTTTAGAATTACGTTTAGTGAGGTGATTTTAATATTTTTAACGGACACAAAACTCATGTTACATAAAATTCGCCATTTTAACTACTGAACAGTACACAATTGAGTGGTTTAAAATATATTACAGCCAAATACTCTGAAAAAACTTTTTTCTTTCTATATTCTAATTCCCTTTAGTGGCCCCAATCCTTCAATACAGTTTGTATGACTTGTATGGTCCATGCAAAAGAAGTCAAAAGAACAGGCCGGAAAAGGGAAGTGTCCTTTGCCCCACAATCACCCCTGCACTCATGACAATGTAAGTGAAGTGGCTTCTGGGGGAGGGAGGACAGCTCCAGGCCAGGCCCAATCTGGAAGCAAGCAGGAGCCAACAGGGAAGCCAGAAATAGGGGAGACAAAGCAAAGTGGAAGGACTAGCTGACAGTGGGGCAACTGGGGCGGCTGGCAGGCAACCTCTCTCGATACACACTGTGAGGGGGGATCAGCAGGAGCTGGCAAGGAGTAGTTGGGGGGTGGAGAGGGAGAAGAGAAAATAGATGCTTCAGGCAGCCCAAAAGAAACAATATTTTGGCCCTGTAGCAAAATATGAAATTAGGCACAGCGAAATTATATTGCAGTACTGCAGGGGCAAATACAGCTGATTCTTGTTATAGGTGAGTAGTTCTCGTCCATAAAGACCACCACAAACACTGTGGACTGAATACTGAACCTACTATTCCTAGGGAAAATATAAAAAGAATACAGACACACTTTTGTCAGTAGATTAACACATTACCTTTGTTTGATATATTTCTATTTTAAAAATTTATTTAACATATACAGTTGATTCATTACCATTGAACTCACAGCCAACAGCACTATGAGCTCATGTTTGAATGAAGCTTATTTAACTAACACAAATATTTCCACTGCGAAGCACAGTACAGCTTTCTTGCACTTAGGAACAATAGACAGCACTTCAGCCATATACTAGGGGGATATTTTAAACAGTGAAAACACCAATAAAGAGCCAAAAATGCAAAAAGTCTGGCACCAGAACACCTCAAAAGGAACACTTGTTTCCAGTAGGAAGGCTGAAACAAGAAGGCAGAGAGAGTGTCACACTGCTGGGCCTCAGTGTGGAACATGCATATCAGGCAACAAATTTTTCACTG